ATGAGTCTTAGAACTCACTTATTAGTGTTTCCAAGTCTTGTCTGAAAGTCTTACTTTTCAGTACATTCTTAAGGACGATGCTAAGAAAGCAGAAATGCAAGCTATCATTTCTTGCCTTGTTGAAATTGTTTTTGTAGAACTAAAATACTGTTGTTCGATGAGTGACAAATACAATCACACCTTGGCTGTCCTCCCAGTGGATGCTGGGATTCTTCTGCATAGACCTTATCTCATTGGAATTTGGCAGGCTTCCTTCATAGCCAGTTCGGTGAAATTAGTTTTGTCTATTGCACTCCTTCTTACATCCTTAGCATAGTGTCTGTATCAAAGTGATAAATATTTGATTAAACATGATTAAATGCATGCAAGCATGATCAATTCATGGGCATACGCCTGCATGCACAATGACTCCAGTATGTATAACACTCTGGAATTTCCCCAACATAAAGACACTCTCTCAAATTTGAATTTCTAATCTAAAGTATTTGTTTTAATAGCCCATCTATTATATCTTCCTGCTTTCCTTCTAGCACTGGTTTAACGAATCTTAATGTCATGGAAGAGTGATTTGTCCAGGACACTAACACTACTAGTCAGTCAGTCAGTCAGTCAGTCTGTCTGTCTGTCTATATGTCTGTCTCTCTCTCTTTTCTATTTAAATTGTGGAGGTAGAGTCTTAAACTCCATGTAAGTCAAGGATACAGCACATAGAGAACCGACCCTTCAGTTAATGTCAAGGGAGTGTACTGCTTGTATCACTGGATGTGGAAACACCAGCCAGGGTGCTGCTCTCTCCTGTGACTAGCACAGAACTGTGCTAACGCTCCTAGATTACTTCTCAAAACTGGGTTTGTCATAAACTCACAAGATGACCAAATCAGTGGCTATGCACTTGGTTTTTTGGGCAATCTGGACACTTGTCCCAGAGAGAAATATCATTTGGATTCATTCTAAGTATAATAGCTAAGGAAGATGTTGGCAGTTCTAGGACACAATTGCTAACAGTAGTGGTAGGAGTCACCCAGAAATAGAACCATCACTGTGGACAGAAATGAGTGGAACAGGAAAGGAGTGATGGCTGCTCAGACTCCAAGCTGTGTCCATGTGACTGCGCCCTCCCTCTAGCAGCTTGCCCTCATCAGTTATCACTGGGTAACTGGCTGAGTGGTGGAACAGTCACAGAGCAAGGATCTCTCTCTACTTGAGATCCCAAAACAGGTTAGACCAGTCTTACAGCCAGGTTAGGTTTCATGCTTCATGGACAGCAGTGGACATGATGACGAGAACCTTTAGTCATGGACTTTATGAGACAGGCTACCACAAATGTGCCATGGGAGTGATGCAGTACCACAGCGAAACTCAGCAACGGTGGACTCAAAGATGTCAAATGAAAGTTCTGTTGCCGTATCAACCTTCGCTGGTGTTAACTACATGTACGTAGATGATTAGCATGCTTTTTAAATGCTTTCCTTTTTTAAACCTATGCAATATATGTACTATATACACACACACATATGTATACAAATAAATGCATTTCTATATAAGAATGTGTGAATATGCATGGCTATATCTACATGCACACATGTGTATGAATGGGCTGATTCTGACACGAGATATGAACAACCATGTTGACCGATGTCAAGAGCATTTATCTCTGGAGATGGAGAAAAGATCCCGGAGCAAAGGGAAGCTGTGCTGTTGCACAGGGTGCTCATCTGTGGTATAAGAACCTTTCAGAAAAGACCTGTGTTCATTTAGTTAAGACCTGTGCCCTAACTAAAAAAAAATATAAATATTGTTAATAAATCAACAACATAATGGAATCAAGTGACTGCCACACATTTTCTAAGATGTGATGGTAATGAAGATCTAGCAAGCGTCAGAAATTCTTTAGGTGAAAGGTCTTTACACCCCACTGCAAAGGAGCTACATGTTGACTACTGCAGCACACAGAGGGGTCTGCACAGAAGCCGCTGGGGACAGAGATGCAGCAGCAGGGCACCTCAGGGTGTCCACAAGTTGTGCTAGATCTCAGAACTTGCTTTTGCCAGTCTCAACCTGTTTCAGAACTTGATCTGCTTTTCAGCTGTCACCTCCTTTCAGCTGTTACCTATAAAGGTAAACAGAAGTCTCCAACAAAAATGTCCAGTTGTCTTTCATTGCTTCTTGGCTTATTGATCTTCTCTATTCTTTACCAAGTCTTCAACTGTGATAAATCCACATTGATTGTGTTCTATTTCATTAACTGTGTAAGAGCAAAGTAGAAGGTTGCAAATACGGATATGTTTATGGTTAGACTGCTGTTTTCTAAATAACTCTTCATCTTCCATCCCGGTAGTAGCTTGATCCAAAAAAATAGAATCCTCAAGGCAGGCAGTGTCACAACATGAAGGACCACCCCATGGGGGCATTGGCAAGGGAGCTGCTGCCAGTTGCGCTGTCCCAGGAGGCTTTGAAAATCTGGTTTTTCTTTTCTGTACTGGGAATCAAACTCAAGACCTCACACTTGCCAGGCAAGTACTGTGCCACTGAGCTATATTTCTGCCCCCTAAATCTGGTTTTCTATGAGTGTAGATGCTAGTGTCTGTTGAAGTTATGTAAGTTTTTGACAGGACAGGATCACTGGCTTCAAACCTCTTGATGACCTAGTGAAGGGGACACCATACACCTAAACTTAGACAGAAACTCCTACACCTTGGTTCTTCCTAAATCCCAGGATGGTCATACGTAGCAATCAATTAAAAAGGCTACAGATGGTAGATTTGATGCTGAGGGTAGATTTGATGCCACATATGTGGCTGTTCTGTGCTCTTTCCTTCCTTTCTTCACCCTTCCTACCTTCCTTCTTCCCCTTTTCTTTCTTCCTTGCTTCCTCCTTGCCTTGCTTTTTTTCTTTCCTTCCCTTCTGGCAAGCCTAAGTCCTGCAAGAATTTGCAGAGATAGATCATATGCTGCTCTTTATCAGTAAATAATATGGGGACTCTAATTCTTTTTTCTCCTTTCTTGAAGCATTTTCAGAGGCAGCAAGACACTTTCAGTAGCTATACATTGGCTCATCGCCACCTCTACCCAAACTTTCCTCTCATATTACCCTGAAGCATTCAAAGAGAAATGCAGCTCAGTACTTAATGAAACCCAAGTCCCTCATCCAGCAGTAGCAGCTCAGCAATTGGCTGTTAGGCCAAATGTTTGGCTCAGTCCAGAGGATGGGAGGCACCATCCAAAGCCAGATTCTGGTCTGCTTTAAGGATGATATTACATTTCTGTCATCACAGTATTTCCTTGACAGTCCTACCAAGTGAAAACCTCCTAGGTGAATCCCAGTGATTAAATTCTCCTGGACCATATTTTTCCCCCAGCTTCTGGAAATGATCTACTGTAGTCCCTTCTTCCCTCACTTTCAAATCCAGAAGAGAATTCCAGTCTTGCAACGGATATAGGGCAACAGATGACTCATAACCAGTCCTTCTCCCACAGCTGGAGACGATGCCAACAATTTGAATCTGAAGTGACTGTGGAGAGACGGTGGTAACAAAATCCCCCATCCATGAAAGGCGTTTCCAGCTTAGCATAGTGTATCATATCTGCATGTTTAAAATGATGATGTGTGACCAACATATGATTCATATAAACAACATGTCACCACTGGGCCATTCAAGTCAAGGTAGAGAGATGATCACTTATGGTAACATGCAGAAATACTGGGGAAGCCATTTCACTGTGTCTAAGAGCAGAAGAGAAGGCAGCTCAGGAGACATCAGATTTAGCCAAAAACCAGAGTTCTAGAATACCCACTTTTATTTTTGTCTTATGCTCAAATATTTGGACAAAAAGAATGTTTTTTCTCCTGATACTTCAGTTATCACTGAGTCCCACAGGATCTATGGCAGGAGGAGCCGGTGAAATTCTACTACCAGATAAGAGACTGCGGGACAGGCTTTTCTCGTGGTTTGCAGTAAGAAATTTCTGATAGGGGAGAACAAGGTCAAGAAAGGAATGTATTAGATGGCCCACATATGGAAAATAGAGCTATCAGATATGACCCCAGGACCTGAAAAGCAATAGGTAAAGCATCCTTTAGAAAGAGCCAGGTGTCATGGAAATCTGGCAATGGAATTCATAAAACAAGACTTGGTCCTTGGGTCAAACCATCTTTGAAATTAAGAAAAACCAAAAATCTAGCAGAAAAACTCAAAATGAGACCCTCTCACCAAGGTATCCAAGAAGGCATGGTTGTTAGCCTTTGTGTAAAATTCCAAGGACTGCTTCTTGCTCATATATATGATCTTAACATATGTTGCTACTTTTGCTTTCGCTATTTTTTTTTCCAAGTTGATTAGGCTGTTTTCTATTATCATCCAACAAGCCTAGAAGTTGATCCCCTGAGTGCTCCATTTCCTGTTACCACAGTTCCCACACAGGTATCTCTCCTACAATTTGAACAGCACTTGAAGTCGAGTGATTCTGAGAACTTAGCTATGGGTCTTTGTCTAATCCTTTGCTCAACTCTATTGCAGTGAAAGGCAAAGATGGCTACGCATAGGCAGTACAGAGCTGGACAAGCAGCCCAAGCCCAACCGGTCCTGCATGGCTACTGGCAATGGCCCAGCCACCTAGGCCAACCCTGGGTGGCAGTAACCCCTCTGAGGTGCCTCCAAGCACAGACAGCTCCCATGCCACCTCGGGAGACCTCAGAGATAGAACACCCAAGTTGATGTCAGCCATGTGACACTTCTCAGCTCCTACAAAATGAAACAAAAGAGTCATCAAGTGGTCTATTGAGTCTTGGAAATGGTTTTACAGTTATATTTCTGCAGGACATCCAGAGGGTTTAAAAGACCTTCAGACAATCTTGTGGTCTTCAGACTGAACGTAAAGAGAAGAGATAAAATCATAAAATTTAGGTTGATGAGTAACTACAGTAGGATTATGTGGTAAAGGAGGAAGATGGACTTGTAGGGAAAGGAAGGAGCAGCGCCATTTATACAAACGTCCTTTGAATCATTAAAATAAATTATACAGGTGAACACAGAAGTTCATGCTACTTGCTGGAAGCAATTGGATCAAATTTTGTGGAACTTGTACTCCACAAATCTCCAGGTAGCCTGGCTCCTTCTCAATGGGCTATCATGTTCTGCCGGACATCTTGGTAGCCCTTAAAAACTGGTGGCACGGTCTCAGAGGTTCTTGCAGGAGAGACAGAGACGTACGCATTCCATCAGCTTTGTCCTCAGGAGCTGCCCGGTTGCTGGGAGGGCACAGGTGACACGTTCGCTCACCGTCGCTCTGTCCATCTACCAGGGTCACACAGCAGTTTCCAGGTCCTCATGACCAATGACCTTATAGTTCTGGCGGCTTTCTAGGTAAGCAGCCAAGTCTGGATCCCCGGCCTGCTGTGCTCTGTCTTGTGGTGTTTTACCCTGTTGGTAACAGTGACAAGGAAAGAGACACATATTTGGAGCGAGGAAATACTATCCATGAAACTCCCATGATCACCAAAGCAGAGCTATGCAAAGACCACTCACTAATAAGACCCCCAATGTTTACTATTTCACAGTTTACAAGATACTTTCAAATCTTTTTCTATTTTATTTCCTGGCCTCATCCTGCTCCTCCTTGACATGGAGTGTGACATGTCTTTATAATAATCATTACAGCAAACATATGAGATTGGTGAGCTAAAAAGTTTATCCTTTTAGATAGGTGGGGTTTTATATCTCTAAAAACAGATGTGCCTAGAATCTTGGATATGGCACAGTAAGTTTTAGAATCCAGGTTCTTCTTAAGAAGTAAGGGAGTGAGAAGACACCAAGGGGAAAAAAAAGTAGAGCAACAGACATTCAGATTTCTAGTTTAGGATTCTGTCACACTGAACCCTTCAAATGAGTGTGAAGGAAGGAGCAAGGATTAGTTACAGTAATCCGAAAGGTTTCCTTTGTTGGATTCCAAGCCTTCTAGTATATTTTCCCCACTTTATCACTAGCTACATGAACTTCCAAAATGTATTAAATTTCTAACTACAACATGATGGATATTGACTAAGGAAATCTTGGGAAAGTAGTAAAGTATGAACAAGAAAATAAAAACTAAAAAAAAAAAAGAAAGAAAATAAAAACTACCAATCACCCCAGTGAACTAAGAAAATCACTGGTGACTTTCCACTATTTTGATCCTTTTATGTCTATTATTTTTATAAAAAAATAGATAATTATTTTTATTTAAAAAAGGGGGCAGATGAGATGGCTCAGTAGAATAAATGCTTGCCTGGCAAGTGCAAGGACCTGAGTTCAATCCCTGGTTCCACAAAAAAAAAAAAAAAAAAAGCCATACCTTGTTTACATAGTCATATGATCTTTTCCACTTTTTATAATTTTGTCATTAAATCTTACACATTAACACTTTAAATTATCATAGAGTATATAGCCTGCTAGCCTGCTAGAGTAGATAAAAACACAAATTCATCTTTAATGTACATTTAATATGTACACAGTGAGTGAATATAAGTTATCAATAATAGAAGAGACAGTGTCTATTCTTTTAAATGTCTGTATGTATTATTAAACACATTTAACCACTAGCTTAAGATTCCTATGAAAATTTGAGTCCAACTTTTTTTACGGTTTTTATAGTCCCTTGTCTTTAATACAATAATAATGAGGTTGTTGTTCCCAGCTTCACACTATCCAGAGCTGTAGTGTACAGGACGCCTCTGAGTTGATTTCTAAGGAGCTCTTCTCTAGTAAGAGAAATTTCCCAGGATACTGTTTCTATCCAAAAAAAAAAGTCTGAGAGGACCCAGGAGTAAGTATTACACTCACCTTTAACCTAACCTTAAGGTACAAAATGATGGATCCTAAACAAAATGAGGCGTAGCTCTATGACTTCATATGGAAAGACTATTAGAACATAATGTTGATTGAAAACTTATGTTATAAATAGCATACACATTATGACTTCACCCAGTTTTTTAAAAATAACAGACATCTGTCCCTGGTCCCCCATGTTGCACTGGCCCCACCCCTGGGGTGCACTGAGCCAGCGACTCAGTCCGGGCGAGGTAGTGCATGCCTATAATCCCAGCACTGGAGAGGGTGAAAACAGGAGGATCACTACAAGCCCAATCTGTATAGTGAGACCCTGCACCAAATACATAAATGGAAAAAAAAAAAAGCCAGACATCTCTATGTGTGAAGTATGATTATTAAAAAATATTTAGTAGTATTTAGGTCTAGGCTGTAAAATTTCCAGATACTTTTGCTTATATGTATGTGTTTTCTATGTGGTAGAGTACACTATATGTATAGCTAAAAAAAAATAACTTGAAATTTGGGAAAAGGATTCATCCACATGAGTCAAAATAGAAACAGCAAAGACCCTTGAGTCCACTTATTTGATTTGGAGACCCAAAAAGATAAATTTGGGGTCCTGCTCCCCGGCCAGTTTGTAGCTCTTTCTACTGCCTGTGTCTCCTCCTTTTCTGTTCACTGTCTGAGCTTAGAAGAGGAGCAACTTCTGGGGAGAACAGGGCAGCTGTCCTGCTGTGCTCTCAGCAGCTCCACCAGGCCCACCCTACCCAAAGTGCCCTGACCTCACCCTACTCCTCGACGTGGAGCGTGCCACTTGGATTACGTTCAGTATCAAAGTGCCTGGATGTAGCAGCCTGCCAAGATGGTTAACCAGGAGGGCAAAAGGCCAGGACACAGCTCAAGTGTGCTTGACGGGCCTTGGGAGGAGAGGGACATCCAGAGACTGGAGAAACCCTGCATTATATCTGACTCAGAAGAGAGAGAGGTCCACTTTACAATGTGGAAGGCTGAAGATTTTCCAGGTATGAAATTGCACACAGATGTTCTTGTCACTTAAACAAGTCTAATGGAACTTAAGTCATTGATTAGGCTTCTAGGCTATATATTGATGGGTCACGGCCACAGCCACTAGCTCTAAATCTGGTACTCAGGGCCTGTTTAATGAAAGCCTCATCTACACATTAAAATTCTTTTCTGCAAGTGTCTATGATCCACTGCTGGCTCTTGGAGTTTACCCAGGGTGCTTTACAATTCTTGAAGCTTACCATCAGCATCCTTTGAAGTGTTGACCATCTGTACAAATGCCATATCTCTTGTCTACCTGTTTGTCTCTGTCTCTCACCTGCTCAGTCTTAGATCAACTCTACTATACCCCTACTCCTCCTTTATTTGTCAACCCCTTCTCTTGGGTGAACTCTGTACATTGAATTAACCCCTATAGAGCCCAGTACCAGCTCTCCCTATGCCATTTGCCTGATACCATAACTGTCCGTGTGGGCACTTTCTAATCAAAGCTGACCTGCATGTCTAACACTAACCCCTTCTGTCCTCACTACCTCCTTAGGACATCTGCCTACTTTGGATCCACATTCATGTAACTTTTGCAGAATAAAGTAAAAATCACATTTCAAGCCACACTTGTCTCTAAATATCACTGTGTGGCAACAAAAGCCATTCTACAAACTACACATGAAAACCATCTTTTTTTTTTTTTTTTTTTT